AAGAAAAAACCACAGGGTGAAGCTTGTGTACTGGCTAAATGTACCTTCCCTCTGTGACAACCCTAGGACTGGTAAACATAAATTCGGGGGGGGGCATATTTTGTTGGCCTTGCCTGCATAATTCTTATCTGCTATCACTGTGTATCAGTAACATTTGCCTATTATTGAATTAAGAAGTTGTGGTCAGTCTGAGGGTTTGGGTCTGCCCAGAGCAAGGTATCTGGGTCATAAATCCACTGTCAACACTGAAAACAGCAGCACATTTCATTCAAGGCAGAATCAGGGTCTCAATCTTGGCCAGAGACAATCAAGCCCTACTTTTATCAGGAGAGGGGAAGCAAAAAGTCAGCCAGAATACATGCAATGTTACTGTTGTTTGTGCATTTTTCCAGTGAAGGAAAATTTTGTCCCAGCTTGACAAAGCCCTGGTTGGAATGATCTAGCTGGGGATGGCCCTGCTTTGAGCAGGAGGTTGGACTAGATGACCTCCAGAGGTCCCTCCCAACCGTAATTTTTTCTATGATTCTAGTACTGTCCAACAATAGCTAAAAAAAGAGTCAGTTAGCTTAATTCTTCTTCAGAATTGAATAAACCGGAAAGTCAGAAAAACAAGTACACAAGAGCACATGATATCAAGTGGGAGTTTGCTGAGGGCAGCAGCTCTACAGCGTTGTATATTTGCATGCCATGCCAACTTCAAACTTATTAGAAATCTAGTATTGTTGCACTGCCACAGGTACACAGAAAAATTCCACATCCTGCCCAATTTTGAAAATATAGTTGTTAGATAAAATATTTAGCTGCCTTTACCAGCATGTAGCCAACAAGATAATTTGCTAGTGCTGTGTGCAATATTTAAATGACCAGCCAAGTAGTGGGGCTTCCTGGGACATGTAGAACTGTTAAGCCTTGCCTTAGTATGACAAAAAAGTCTCAGTCCTGAAATGTGATGGGCAAAGGATTGAACTTACTTCAGATATGGTACAAAGACAGGGAGGAATAGAGGGGAAAATGAGCAAGCGCATATTATGACAAAGTAGGACAGACATCTTGTTTAAGCCAGACAGCTATCTGTGTCAGCTTCTTCAAGATGTTGTGGAAGAAGTTGGCTCTGAAGGGTGACTGACATGGAAATGAATGAGACATTCTACTGAGCCAGCTCCAGAACAGAGCCCCACCTGGAAGAGTGCTGCAATGGAGCAGTGTTTCCCTGTCTCCATCTTGCAGCTTACAAGATTTCTCTACTACATGGTTGGTCCCCCTGCCAGTAATAACTGCATGCTGCCATACTTGGAAAATTTTTCCTTTTACTTGCCTGCTGTTTGCATAGTACTCGGGTGCTCCATTCTGCTCAGGCTTGGTTTCTGGAGGTTTGGATTTGAAGTAGTTTACAAAACCACCAAAGACACTTTTAATGTTGTTCATGTGTCTCTGACTAGTCTTTAAGTCCTGTTCCATTTTATCCACCATTTGTTCAGTGCGCTTTAATGCCTCACCCTGACGTACAAGCTCCTGAAGGGAAATTAACAGAAAAATGCAAGTTAGAGAAGGTGAGGGATGAGATAAGATGCAATGCCAATAGTTTTAAGCTAAGAATAAAAGTATTTAAAGCACCCCTTTTCAGTCTGCAGCAATACATATTTTTAAAAGATCAGCTATACAAAATTACTATACTTCCTGTTGGGAAACAATCATAAAAGGCTCCTTGTGTACTTAAAAAGCAGTAGCTTTAATATATAGCTCTGAGATAGACCAATTAGAAGAAAACAGGAAGACGAGATTTAATAAATTCATTTCCTAGCACATTAAAAACATCAGTGCACCTCTACTATTACAAGGCTTTTAGGATTAGCATATGGATAAACAAACCATCTTACCTTCATTATACCTGCAGATTTTTCAGTAATCTTGAGTAAAACTGTAAATCTGTTTCTCTCAAACTGATTGTTCCCAATAGTCTAACCTTCCTTCAACCAATTGATATGTATTATTTAATTTATGATAATGCCTACAAGTCTTAACTGAGACTGGAGCCCACTGTTCTAGGTGCTATTCAAGCAGAGTCCCTGAAACCAGAAAGATGAAGGGTGGGAGCAGAAACAAAGACACAGGGAGGTAAAGCAAGTTACCCAAGCTCACATAGCTGGTCAGTGGTAGAGCTACATATATCCCTAGATCCTGGTGCAGCATTTTATCTACTAAACCATTCTTTTGACATGTATGCCACAAATTAAGCCCCATATCCTCTCCAAGTGCCAGTCTAATGCCCTTCCCCTGCCCAGTCTGCTCCTTTGCTTTCTGCTCCCTGCACCCTCCCTAATCTACCCTGTCTGACAGAGGCTGCTTGTGCCCTTTTTGGCACCCTTCTATTACACCACCCTACTCCATATCATCCCATGTTTGATCATACCTAAACAATACAGAATATGAAAGAGAAAAGTAACAAATAGGAAGAATCCATATTTAAACCACCCTACCGGCAAACAAATGTTACTAGATTTTTATACTGAAGTTTTAAGCATGCTAACTATGATCAGGAATCTGGCTGCAAGCCTGCTAAGCACTCTGAGGAACCACTCCTCAGCACTCTACAAACAGCAGCGGTGGCCTCTTTCATTTTCCAGTGCCTTACCACCAGGAGTAAAGTAGCAAATCAGAAAGGACAATATTTTTTGTCAGTTTCATTTCCTACTCAGCACCCTCTGTGTGCATGAAAGTGAAAGTGACAAGGACCTGACAATTAGACTTCACTGGTGGGGGGATGGAATTTGGGGATGGAGATGATAGAAAAGGGAGACAAGGCAAGAATCCAACCAAAAACAAGGCACCTAGCTTTTCATGTGGATAGATTTGAGTGCCTAAATAAAGAGTTGCTTGGAGCAGGATTCAACAACTCCAGCTTTCATTGGCTATATAGTTCTTAGGACTAAGAAATGCCAGCTTCCTGTCACAATAGTCTAGATTCCGTTCACAAAAAGTATCTGACATTACAAGGTCTTACACCTTTATCTGCCCTTGCTAAGTTAGGTTACGTTGTACCATGAAGGCATAGAAAACAAACACTGCCCACTGCCAAGTTTCTAATGGTGAAGCAAGCAAGCTGGCCAGAATTAATTCAATTCATAAGCACCACTTTCATTGACAAGGGCTTTTATTTTCTTGGTACTGGACTGAGCTAGGCAAATTGAAAGAGAGCTGCTGACAGAAGTATTCCAATAGCAGTTATTTCCTTACACGAGTTTCTCTCTGGTAACTACCTCCTACAGGGTATGATTTGAAGTTCTAAAGCACAGTTTGCAATTTGTTATTTTAGCAGCTTAAAAATAAAACAGACAGAATTATTCTGTGGATTACTTTACTAAAATTGAATTGTGGTTGCATTAACGAAACACCATTCTGGCTTGGATTCTAGTTAACAGTCCCTCATAATCTTTTCCCTCATGCTCCTTATGCAAACAGCCACATTTATGTCATTCAAACACTATCATTAACTCTACATTCCTTATCTTTCCTCGACTTTTCCTTGCATCCTTACAGAATTTGTAGCATTACCTCTCAGATTACACACACAAAAATCACTATCACACTACTCAATTATATTGATACAGATAACTATATTCATTCCCTCAGGAGAACATATGTAAAAAAATGTGAGTAAACATCCTTCATTAACAGGTGGCACAGCCCAAAAGGCCTTATTAAGAATGACTGTAGATGCCTAGAGTGGGTACTAACATCACTTACTCTCAAAATATCCCCATTAGTATTAAGGAAATGATTAACAACATTGAAACTAAGTTCATAGCAGTCTGATGGGTAGGTTGTGGTCATCAATGAGTCAGGAAAAACAGGTCTAGCAGATTTTAGACAGAACAGCTATCATTGATTGTTAAGTTTTCTACTAACAGAATGGCATATTTTTTGTTCATGTTCAGTAATCTTTTCACCCACAGATGGTCATACAAAACTATTTTAGGCATTAACAGGAGCCCTGAAGGGAAAGCAGTACTGGAAGCACTCTTAAGTTCTTATCTTAAAACACTGAGGTAGTCAAGGTACCTTGGACTTCTCTTTTGAAGAGAAAGAAACCCCCCCCAACACTGCCAACACTGCTTCCCAACCCCCACAAAAATTACAGAGATTTAAAAACCACTGAGAAAAAACAAACAGCAACAACTGATTAGATTCTTAAGGGTTTGCAATTCATGCAAGAAGGCAAAACACTAGCAATCTGTTTTAGTTGAGGTGCGTATATATGCATATAGAATAAAACCCTTAGTGTCCCAATCCTGTTTTGAGATATTTTCTGAAGTTTATGAAGACAGAAGATTTTACTAATAAGCTTAGTAAACCACTGTGGCTGTGAGTATGCCCAGTAAAAGGAGTCACCAGAAGGAAAAGTGTTCCATGTTGGCCACAGTCACAGGTGTGGCTGCAGCTTACGTGGATGTAGCTGAAGCTAGCTTTAACACGTAGCCTGCATATGGAGACAAGTAGAGCCGTAGCAGCATGTGTACATACAGCCTCACACCAGATGCAACCCCTACCTGAGGAGATGGGTAAATAAGGTGTCCAGATGCTCTGGCTATACTGCACGCACTATCAGAGCTAGCTTGGATAGGTCTCCAGGAGCTGCAGTCATATCCTTTGCAGGGTAGTCGTACCCCGGTTTACTACCAAGCTAGGCTGCATAAAGTTCACTTAAACAGATGGCAGACTTGAGTGGCAGCACCGACCTCTTCACGCTTAGAGTTCATATTGCTGGCTAGCAAAATCTCTTACAGTTTACACAGAGCCTAAGGGGTGTGTCTGTGTGTGGCCTAATCAGCCAAATCAGTTCTGAATTCTATTGACTGAGCAGAAGTCAATCATTCAAGTCTGTGTGGCACTATGACTGACACGCATCTTGCCTCCCAGACTCTTCAGATGAGGGGTTCAGATACTCCCAAATCCATGGCAGGCATCATATACACACGCCCCAAGCCCGGAGGCCTTGGAGTTCAGATGTCCCCAAGTCTTGCTCGCCCCTAGTCCAAAGGCCATAGGAGCAAACTAAAGGGAGAGCCTGAGAGCAATCCCCCACCATCATAAATTGTGTAGCCAAGATCCTCCCATTGGGAGGCTACAGTAGACTCTCACGAGGCTACCCACCAACAGTGCAATGGACAGTATCTCCCTTGCCAGGTATGGTAAAACCAACTGGGCCAACACCATCATCACGGTCTTGCACCGAAATCAAGGCTCATTATCAACTCACCTCTGAAGTGGCCACCCCGACCTTCTCTGACTCGTAAATGAGAGAGAGCGAGCGGTGCGTGCTGTCCACCGTGGCGGTCGATCGCCTCAGCACCTCTTGCTGCAGGTACCGCTGCTTGTTGGCAGCCTCCCTGCGCTCTCTCCCCGCGGGATCCTCCAGGTTGTCGTCCGCTCCATCGTTCCACCTCACCGGCTTCAAATCTTCATCGTCGTCGTCAAACGGGTTATAGCTCTTGGAGTAAGCTGACATGATGCCGATTTTTGCTCTTCTCCCCCAGCTGCGGTGCGAGCACAGCTCGTGGCTGGCGCGTGCTGCCTGGGCCGGGAGCAACAGGTGGACTGAGACGGGGCGAGTCTCAACGCAGGCGTGTTATCTGCGCTCAGGAGAGAGAGATGGGAGGCAAGAAGTGTAACACGTTATGACCCGCATGTGCGGCCCCCAGTGCCATGTACTCGCCCCCCCCAGCCCACACACCCTATCTCCCCATGTTTACAGGCAAACCCACCAATATCCACACCCCTGTCCCCCTGCATACGCATGCCCCCAACACCTCCATGTTCACATGCACCCCCACTCCCTCCTGCTTACACGTGTCCGTGTCCATGTCCCACCCGTGTACATGTGCCCCCCAAGCTTACACACGTCCCCGTGTCCTGCCCACAGACACATGCTTCCCCAGTCCCTCTGCATACGTGCACCCCCGTGTCCCGTCCCCGCATGTACACAGCCCCGCCCAGGGCTCTTGGAGTACACGCGCCCGCC